ATTCTTTGGAAAGTGATAGAACAATACGATGTCACCTTGCAGCACACAGCAATGCTCTTTGGACATCGCTTTCTTCTTTTTCAGGCTTGGGCGCACGCCATGGCCAAAATAATAGAACTATGCGGCCGCTTCTCAACGCGCTCATCGTGGTAACATATCTCTTTTCAAGGTTGACCCTGCTAGTGCCGTTTCCAGGTGCGGCCGCTATGTGGCGAGTGCTCAGTTAGAATCGTGAACAGGCTTGTCAACCTGGCCAATGTTGTGGGACTGCACAGCTCCAATTTCGGTCAGTCAGCAAGACCAGCTTGCTCGATGTTGGCAGTAGACGTCCCAGGACACTTGTGGGAATCGAGGTTAGCCCACCCCCTCATTCTGCGTTCTAATGTCCTGACATGACTTTCCCCTCCTCCGTGGTCTGTCGTGCTGGGAGAGCGGGGAGTGACGTTTAACCCCTCTCACCCGGTAGCGGATGTTGACTGTGGTCCCATGCGCGGAGTCTCTCAGGACGTTTCACACGTGCACGTCGGGAGTGACAGAGAACCTCTCCTTGACGACATGGATTAAGCACGTATATTTTTCCCGTCAATTGACCCTCTTTGTTTGGGGCTCATTCGTACTTTGCCAAGGACGCCTTGCGCCCGTGAACGCTTACCTTTTGTCGCACCTCCTTTGTACCCTAGGCCAAAGAGCGGTGCGGTGTCCCAGTGCGTGGCCAGGCTATTGCGCCGTTGCTCAGTGCCAATTTCTGCTGTAGTTACTTTCATGCAGCCCAACATTCAGTAGCTATGTTTCCCTTTTTCGTACATTTTGAACACTTGGCATGCTTAAAAGCACAAATCACACCAGTGTATTTATGGCTCTCACGCTGGGGATAGTCTTTCGATAATGCACTAACTTGACTGTAGTTTGTTCCTGCCTGTTGCTGCTGTCTATTTCGGCTAGTATGGGAAGCTCTACCTCTTCCTTCGATCCCATCTTTTTCATAAGCAAAACGACCTGTCCTGAAACGTCTGGTGTCAGCATAATGTTTTCTACATCGTGCAACATCAACTTCGTGTGTGAAAGTAGGGCCTTCTATATGTCATTACTGCAAATACCGCACACTATCCTTGCGAAGCAGGCTTTTCAGCGTGGCTCCGAAATTGCATTCATCTGCCACGTGTCAGAGCTCCACAATAAACTGCTCAGCTGATTCTTCTTCCCTTTTAATACTTGTGTAAAGAATTTGAAGCTTGTAGCGATCTCATTTCACTCGGGCACATAAAATTCAAGAACTGCAATTGCTTCCTTGTAGGTCAGGTCACTCACTTTTTGTGAAGCACAATGGCTACTCAGTTCATAGATAGGCTTTAAAGGTCAACTCCGGTGATTTTTCAAGGTCAGTGGAACTCAGTGAAATTTGCTGCGTACGTTCCTTTGTACATTACCGACATTTATGCCAACTTAACAGGCTTGAGAGATGCTTTGACTATTTGCAAAGGAATTTTAAAGATTGCCTCGAATTGGCTCAACTGGCTTGCCATATTTATTGGCAACACTGGCTCTGTGTCACGTTTGGCATGTCAACATGACACAGTCGGTGGCTTCGCTAACTTTGGCCACTGCAGCGTTTACTGTGCTAGCCACAAGGCGATGGCAGCGGTGTTCTTCCTTCCTTCGTGGTGTTTGATTTTCTGTTGCCTGTGGATGAGTGTGCAAGAGGTGGTAGTTGGTGTTGCATTGTGGGCTGCACAAACCACTCACACAAGATGCAGAGTGTCTATCATCACAGCTTTCCATGTGACAGTGCCCTCTGCGAGAAGTGTGGATTAGTGCGATCAGGCGGGACAGCTGGTTACCGAGCAAAATGGCACGCGTGTGTTCCGATCATTTCTCGCCGGAGTCCTATCAGGACAACATTTAGCCAGCATTTGGCCGGCGCCTGTGTGTCTATTCATTCGTGAATGTGTCTGTCTGTTTGTCCATCTATCTAGTGAAGACTAAATACCGCCCTGTCAAACCTTTTCATCATATATTCATCATATACAAGTACCGCCATCCAGCGTACATTCGAAGGACTAAAAGAGAGGTGGCTACCTACTACTACTACTACTACTACTACTACTACTACTACTACTACTACTACTACTACTACTACATACAATGCGGACGCACGACCCACTGTGTAGGGAGCATCACCCCTAAAACGACGAGGTAACAGCATCATTTGCGTCGGAGTCGCCACTGTGGGATAGCTATGAAACACTGTCAGTCTCAGACATGTTAGTTGACGTTCGGCGTGTTCACCTTCGCTCCAAGCTAAACCCCGAGCGTCTGCTCGACCTGGCATGCACAGTTTTCATACACCGCACCGGCAGGACCAGTATGCCTTGTACGACATCCGGTTCTAGGTTCCTGCAAAACGTTACATCATACGTAGACTGTGCGCTCAGTTGGGTTTCGATATTGTGCATTTTTGCTTATTAAAAATTATTTTCAAATTCGCTCAGCATTTCAGGTATTGGGCACATGACGAGAGTGTGTCAGGAACACAGAACCACTATTACTCTGACACGGTAAAAAAAAAATAAATCACCAGAGTGGCCTTTAAAGGGACACTAAAGCCAAATATTAAGTCGATGTCATTGTTGAAATGGTGGTTCAGAAACCTCGTAGTCTTATTTTCGTGCCAAGGAAGGGCCTATTTTAAAATAAAATCGCGTTTTACAGCGCCGCATCGAGTTAGCGCACTTCAAGTTACCCGTCTCAATGAGCGGACCGACCGAACTGTCTCGCGTCACTGTTGCCGTGCACATGGTTGCCCGGCTTTACTGCGCTAGTAGCAGCAGACTGAAAGCAGCAAGAGCCACAGCAGCAAAACGGCCATTGATCAATTTCCCGCCATTGGCTTCGAGATTGCAGACACTTTTGTTTCCACTGTGCCCCGCTAAATGGCACCACCTGTCCCGTGTAATCACGTGAAAATTGAATTTTTGAACTACTCGCACCAATCTGCATAGCAACATCGGGCGTTTTTTTTTTTCTTGAATCAAATAGAAACGAACAAGCAGCATTTTATTGCGTCTCTTGATGCACGGAAGGTTTTTATTTAGTGCAGTTAGATCGATTACTAGTGATTAATTGTTGGTGGTTCGTCTGATGTCATCGGGATCGTTTTGAAAATGTCCTGCTGAGGCGCTTGTGTTCTTGTGCATTCACCTTAATTTCTCGGTAAGTAGGGCACTGTTGTTGATAATATTGTCGTTTTAGTTGTTGTCATACATTGAACTTTCACTCTGACGTAAATTGTTATTTGACTTTAGTGTTCCTTTAAGCCCAATGCTGAAGTGATGAGTACTCTCTTAGTCTTTTCAACTATGTCGTTACCCTCAAATTACGGCTGCACTCGGCATGTAGTACAATGACCACCTGTCTTTCGCATCCGCAAACTAGTGAACTTGATAGGCCATGTTGGAATTTGTGATGCAGGTTTACGAATGAGTAAATTGTTGCTCGGAGAGAAAGCCTCGGAGCTAAGAATTGACGAAGCTGTTTAAAGTAAGAAAAGAAAAGTAGGAACTTTAAGCATAATTAAGAGAAAAAAAAGAGATGAAGTTACAATGTACAGGCACCGAGTCTAAACTGACAAACTAAAACATGTCCTTTAAGTTGTCCAGCTATAATGTTTATGAAAATCAACAGTCACCGGTGGCGTTGATGGTGGCGGTGGCTTGGTGGGTAGAGGTGGCGGATGCTGGCGATGTCTCAGCAGCTGGAGTCACGCGCTGACCAGCACGGCGATGTTGGCAGAAGACGAGGTAGCCCTTGCCTTAGCAAGAACTGCGGCTGCTTACCGATGCTGGCTCGTTTGGAGGAGTTGATTACCACCCGTAAGGTTCCGCCCTCCGCGGGTAGTTCGGGACCCGAGTCAAAGCCCGGACACCTGGGACGTGACCTTGAACAGTCACGGCCGGAACGGACACCTGAGACGTGACCTTGAACAGTTATGGCTGGAACTCGGGAAGGCCGCGTACCTACCAGTACACCATGGGCAGCTGGAGCGTCCTGGCCTTGCCTGACTTCACGTTTTCGGGTCCGGAACCCGACACCGCAGTCGCGCGACACCCAGGATCTTCACTCCAGCCAGCTCGATCTTGTTCTCTTGCTTGCTTGCTTTTCTCAAGGTGTTCGTTGGTTGCTTGTCGCCACTGCTATAACTGTAACTTTATTGCTACACCTACGGCCAGGCGTGTAATAATGCTCACACAGGAACAGGAACACTATGCATGGTTTATTCTGTGGCAGTCTATATAATGCTGTTAGCAAAAAGTGTTTGGCCATGATGACACTATCGCGACATCTCAGTAAATGTAGGTTTCATTCTTAGTTCTCACTTTGCAGCACAAGGCCAGACTGGTGCTGTGAGTGTGTGTGTGTGTATGCATACGAGCTCTTTTGTACACATAGCAAAGAATACACACTGGGTCAACAGCATTGTGTAGATTCCACAGCTGCCAAGGGGTCCTATTGTATTTTGTATTAAGTCATCTATACTGCAAAACAACATTCATACAGTTTAAAAAAAGAACATATTATTGTATACGAAGTGCTGTATCTGTGTATTAAAACACAGACCAGAACAACTCTGTCTTCAAGCACTGAAAAATTCGGACACTCATATCACAGTAAGCAAGGACTGTAATAAACGAGTCTTTTAAGTAGTTATACTGCTTTTTGCCTTTTATGGAGTAAAAGAAAATCTATGTTGCAAATCACTTCTAAAACAGGATGATTGTTGTGGACCAGCTGGGCTTGTCTAGTATTTACCAGTATTCGGCAAATTTTTTTGTTGTTCCTTTTTCTATAATTAACACAGGGAGAATTGGAACTAACTTGAGAATTGACTTATCAGATGAATTGCTGTGTAAGCTGCATGCATTTGAATGTGTAAGACATCATGTGTATTCTCAAACTGCTTTTGGTAGCCATTTTTACGTGTTTTATTTTTCTCTGTTTATCAGGAGAATGTTTAACACTGGGAAAAGCAGCATTGCAGAAGAGGAGGCAAAGCGTATTGTCTCTATGGAGCAGTTTGGTGTGACCCCACAAATGAAAAACAGCATTCGTCAGCGCCTGGAAGAGTTCAAGCAATCAGCATCTAGCACTCCTATAACCTTCACAACTGGATTCAGCCATACTCATTTTCAATATATTCGCTCTGTTTCGACAAGGTTGGGGCTAAAATGTGCGGACTTGCCAGGGGAAGGTGTAAAAGTGTTCATTGAATAAGTTCCACGTTCTGTTCATTCATTATGGTTTTGTTGCAAGTTCGCACATTTCTTCTCTTTATTGTCTCTCAAGAAATCTGGCTTTATTTAATTGGTGTTCTATGAACACAGATGTTTTGTAGAGAGACGAATAAAGGTCTTTCAGTCATTTGTACTTATCACTTGCTGTTGTCTGTGTCTATGCTCTAATAATTATATAGGTCAATTCATCATCATCAGCCTGACTATGCCCACTGCAGGGTAAAAGCCTCTCCCATGATCCGCCCATCAACCCGGTCTTGTGCTTTCTGCTGCCATGTTACCCCTGCAAACTTTTCAATCCCATCAGCCCTCCTAACTTTCTGTCTCCCCTTTATGTGTTTTCCTTCTCAGGGAATCCAGTCGGTTACCCTTAATGGCCAGCGGTTATCCTGCCTACGTGCTATGTGCCTGGCTCATGTCCATTTCTTTTTGTTTTCAACTATGATATCCTTAACCCCGGTTTGTTCCCTGACCCACTCTTCTCTCTTCTTGTCTCTTTAGGTTACCCTATGATTTTCTTTTCCAGCACTCACTGCGTCGTCCTCAATTTAAGCTGAACCCTTTTTGTAAGCCTTCAGGTTTCTGCTCCGTAGGTAAGTACAGGCAAGATGCAGCTGGTATATACGTTCCTCTTGACTGTTAGTGGCAAATTACCATTCATGATCTGAGAGAAGACTTGCCGAATGTGATCCACCCCATCCTTATTCTTCTAGTTAATTCACTCTCATGGTTCGGCTCCATGGTTACTACCTACCCTAAATAGACATGTGTATTCCTTTATAACTTCAAGCGTCTCTCCACCTATCGTGCAGTTATGTCTTCTGCCGAGAGTGTTGCGCATTACTTTACTTTTGCTCATATTAATTTTCAGACCAACTTTTCTGCTTTCCGTGTTCAGTAATCATGACCTGTAATTCATCCCTTGAGTTACTCATCAAGGCAATGTCATTAGCCAATCGCAGATTACTCAGATACTCTCCGTTAACTCTTATCCCCAACTCTTCCCAATCTATGGTCTTGAAAACCTCGTGAAAACACACGGTGAATAGCATTGGAGAGATCTGTCTCCCTGCCTTACACGCTTTTTTATTGGGATTCTGTCGCTTTCTTTATGGAGAACTATGGTGGCTGTGGATCCACTGTATATTTCTTTCAGTATGCTAATGTAGGGTTCGTCGATGCCCTGATTTCCGTAGTGTCTGCATTACTGCTGATGTCTCGACTGAGTCAAACGCCTTCTCGAAACCTATGAAAGCATGTATAGGAGTTGGTTGTATTCCACGCATTTCTCCATTACCTGATTGATAGTATTGTGGAGTAGCCTGTACGAAATCCTGCTTGGCTTTTTTGGTTGACTGAACACTAATGTTGCCTTAATTCTATTAGCTATTATTTTTGTAAATAGTTTGTAGGGAACCAACAGTAAGCTGATCGGCCTGTAATTTTTCAAGTCCTTGACGTCTCCTTCTTATGCATTAAAATGACGGCATTCTTCCAAGATTCAGGTACCGTTCCCGTCAAGAGACGCTTCATATATAAGGTGGGGAGTTCTTCTAACACAATTTCTGTGCCATCTTTCAGCAGGTCCTATGTTACCTTATCTTCACCAGCGGTTTAGCCTCTTCGCATTCCTTCTAAAGCTTTCGTTACTTTTCCTGTCATTATTGGTAGGATGTCAAATTCTTATGGGCTATTATTGCTTCTTACGATGTCATCCTGGTTGTTTCGGCTTCTGTACAGCTTTCTGTAGAACTCCTGTGCCATCTCAACTATTCATTCCATATTGGGTATGACATTGCCTTCCTTGTCTTTTATAGCATAGATTAGATTTTTGCCAATGCAAAAGTGTGTATTCGCAGCTTTCAGTCTTTTGCCGCTTTTTACAGCCTGCTCAATTCTCTCCATGTATATACCTTCTCATGTCGGCTACCTTACGGCTATTTATTGACTTGGAAAGCTCCACTAGCTTTATTTTGTCGGTTGCATTTGAGGCTTTCATGGTTTGTCATCTCTTGATAAGATTTTTCGTCTCTTGAGATAGTTTCTGAATATACGAACAGCGCAACTTAAAAGCAGTTACAGTGTAACTACGGAAGCAAAGATACAAGGATAGAAAAGAGCGCTGACTTTCAACAATAATTTAATAGCGAAGTGGTATACATATATCATCATCAGCCTGACTACGTCCACTGCAGGACAAAGGCCTCTCCTATGTTCCGCCAGTTAACCCGGTCCTGTGCTTGCTGCTGCCAATTTATACCCGCAAACTTCTTAATCTCATCTGCCCACCTAACCTTCTGTCTACCCCTAACCCGCTTCCCTTCTCTGGGAATCCAGTTAGTTATCCTTAATGACCAGCGGTTATCCTGTCTACGCGCTACATGCCCAGCCCATGTCCATTTCCTCTTCTTTATATTTCAACTATGATATCCTTAACCCCCGTTTGTCCCCTAATCCACTCTGCTCTCTTCTTGCCTCTTAAGGTTACACCTACAATTTTTCTGTCCAGTGCTCGCTGCGTCGTCCTCAATTTAAGCTGAACCCTCTTTGTAAGTCTCCAGGTTTCTGCTCCGTAGCTAAGTACCGGCAAGATACAGCTGTTATATAACTTCCTCTTGAGGGATAGTGGCAATCTACCTGTCATAATTTGAGAGTTCTTGCCAAATGTGATCCATGCCATTCTTATTCTTCTATATACTTCAATCTCGTGGTTCGGCTCCGCAGTTATTACCTGCCCTAAGTAGACATAGTCTTTTAGAACTTGAAGTGGACTATTACCTATCTCAAAGCGCTGCTCTCTTCCGAGGTTGTTGTACATTACTTTCGTTTTCTGCAGATTAATTTTAAGGCCCACCTTTCTGCTCTCCTTGTCTAACTCGGTAATCGTGAGTTGCAATTCGTCCCCTGATTTACTCGGCAATGCAATGTCATCGGCGAAGCGCAAGTTACTAAGGTATTCTCCATTAACTCTTACCCTAACTCTTCCCATTCTAGGCTTCCGAAAACCTCCTGTAAGCACGCAGTAAATAGCATTGGGGAGATTGTGTCCCCCTGCCTTACACTCTTCTTGATTGGTATTCTGTTGCTTTCTTTATGAAGCACTACGGTAGCAGTTGATCCCCTGTAGATTTCTTCCAGAATGTTTATATATACTTCATCTACGCCCTGATTCTGCAGTGTCTGCATGACGGCTGATATTTCTACTGAATCAAACGCCTTCTCGTAATCTATGAAGGCTATGTATAGTGGTTGGTTATACTCTGAGCATTTCTCTATTACCTGATTGATAGTATGAATGTGGTCAATTGTTGAGTAGCCTGTTCGAAATCCTGCTTGTTCCTTTGGTTGATTGAATTCTAATGTTTTCTTTACTCTGTTAGCAATTACCTTTGTAAATAGCTTGTATACTACAGAGAGCAAGCTGATCGGCCTGTAATTCTTCAAGTCCTTGTCATCTCCTTTCTTATGTATTAAGATGATGTTAGCGTTCTTCCAAGACTCTGGTACCCTTCCCGTCAGGAGACACCTCGTAAACAGGGTGGCTAGTTTTCTAACACAATCTGTCCTCCATTTTTCAGCAGGTCTGATGTTACCTGATCCTCACCAGCAGCTTTGCCTCTTTGCATGCTCTCCAAAGCTTTTCTGACTTCTTATATCATTACTGGTGGGGTGTCATCCGGGTTACTGCTAGTTCTTATAGTATTAAGGTCGTGGTTGTCTCGGCTACTGTACAGATCTCTGTAAAACTCCTCCGCTATTTTAGCTATCCTATCCATATTGGTAGTTATTTTGCCTTCTTTGTCCCTTAGTGCATACATCCGACTTTTGCCTATCCCAAGTTTCCTCTTCACTGCTTTGACGCTTCCTCCGTTTTTCAGAGCGTGTTCAATTCTCTCCATGTTATACCTTCTTACATCGCATACTTTACGTCTATTAAACAACTTCGAAAGCTCTGCCAGTTCTATTTTGTCTGTTGTACTTGACACTTTCATGATTTGACGCTTCTTAATTAGGTTCTTCGTTTCCTGGGAAAGTTTGCCAGTGTCCTGTCTAACTACCCTGCCTCCAACTTCCACTGCACAATCCGTAATGATACTCGTCAGATTATCATTCATTGTATCTACGCTAAGGTTGGTTTCCTCACTAAGAGCCGAGTACCTGTTCTGCAGCGACACTCTGAATTCCTGTACTTTCCCTCTCAGTGCTAGCTCATTGATTGGCTTCTTGCGTATCAGTTTCTGTTGTTCCTTCTTCAAGTCTAGGCGAATTCGAGACCGTACCATTCTATGGTCACTGCATCGTACCTTGCCAACCACTTCCACATCCTGCACGATTCCTGGGTGTGCAGTCATTATAAAGTCTATTTCTTTCTTATTTTCGCCATTAGGGCTCCTCCATGTCCACTTGCGGTTTTCTCGTTTTCGGTAGAAAGTATTCAAAATCCGCAAATTATTGCGTTCTGCGAATTCTACTAGTAGCTCTCCTCTGGCGTTTCTAGTGCCGATGCCATAATCTCCTACTGCCTGGTCTCCAGCCTGCTTGTTCCCTACCTTTGCATTAAAGTCGCCCATCACTATAGTATACTGTGTTTTTACTTTACTCATTGCCGATTCCACGTCTTCATAGAAGCTTTCAACTGAAGCGTCATCATGGCTGGATGTAGGAGCGTAAGCCTGTACTACCTTCATCTTGTATCCTTTATTCAGTTTAATTACAATACCTACCACCCTTTCATTAATGCTATAGTATTCCTCTATGTTGCCAGCTATGTTTCTGTGAATTAGGAACCCCACTCCCAGTTCTCTTCTGTCTGCCAAGCCCCGATAGCAAAGGACGTGCCCATTCTGTAGCACAGTATAGGCCTCTTCTGTCCTCCTAACCTCACTGAGCCCTATTATATCCCATTTAACACCCTCTAGCTCCTCGAATATTACGGCTAGACTTCCCTCACTAGATAAGGTTCTAGCGTTCTATAAAGTTCTACACATATATGTATAAGATAAGGTTCTATACATATATAGGCAAATAAAAAAAGAAAATGGGCATGCATAGAAGGGTGCAGTTTACAACCACTGCGAAACAATGTCAGCAAAACTCTTGTCTCTTGTTGATTGAACAAATACATAGCTTAAAAATGATC